TTTTATTGAAAAGATGATAAGTACTGTGCTCCATTGTTTCTAGAAATTGGGGAAAGCCGTAATTCATTTTTTTATGTTAAAATGAGCCAGCAGCAGACGTTTGTATGTTACCCTGACAACACGATTGCCACATGGCTTTGCCGACTTTTCTCCACTGACTATTCACGACTTTTGGATTCTGTGCTTGTTGATTGTGTTTCAAGGTCTTCCTACAACTGCCGTTTCTTTGTCCTTCCCTGCTGCTTCTTCGACTTCGTTGGACGATACCACCGGAGGCAAAGTAAGAAGACGCAGTACCGAGGGTACCTCGACTTCATCGCAGAAGTGGGACTGACGTGTGGCTTTCACGTGGAGGAGGACTGCCTTAGGGTCCCTTCAACCAAGAGAGTGCGTCCCGGTCGCGTCGTGTGGTCTCGGTGGGCGGCGTGCTGGCTTTCAGATGGAAGGCGTAGGGCCATGTCACAGAGCCATAAACGACCCTGGTGTTTGAAAGTACGAATGTTCCAGAAGGTTCCTGTCCCAGTGTCAACACCTCGGTCATCAATGGGGTTCAGAGGGCTTTTCTCCATACGGTCCCCTCTTTTGGGGACATTCTGACACTTCCTTCTCAGGCAGCTCTGGAGGAACCGTCGCCAAGCCTTCATTTCCTTTCCAGAAATGGCCTGGCCCCACAGGGTCTTCCCCGAGTAGGCGTCAGCTTGGCCTGGGTGGAGATTTCTGACCCTCGCGTTGTCTGAGGCTGAACACGCTAATAATTGGCTGAAATTAAAGGTTGTTTCGGAAGTTCAGAATGATTTCAGATTTTATTAAAAGCCTTATTGATTCATATTTATCTGGACTGTAATTGGTCCAGGCTGAAGCTGACCCTTGCACCCTCTGGAACTCTGCCAGGTGGTGACGGCAGGTGTCTCCATGGCGGGTGCTCACCGGCTGCCGGGGTTAGGCACCCCGGTCAGCTTCAGGTGTCTCTTCTGTCGATGCTGTCACTGCTCAGGAAATGGGCTTTAGGACTTGGCCTCAGAGCTTTCCTGTCGTTCTCTTAAATGCCCTCGATTTGGGCAAGTCGTGGTCTTCTGAGGTTGGAGTTGATTTTCAGAAACTGCTGAAGTTTGGGCCATGTAGGTGGGCATAGGACCCCCCGTTTGCTTTCTGCTGTCGTCTTCCCACTGGTGTTTATAGAACCCACAGGTGACCCCTCCCCTCCCTGAGCCTCGGTCTCCTTGTAACTGGATGGTTTGGGTTCAAATGCAAGAGCACGTGTCCACATACAGCAGACTGACTTTGTGCCAGGTGTCCTCGTCCCCACACACAGAAGCTAAGTCGCCTGCCTGAGGTCACGTGCCGCAGGTGGCAGCGCTGCGGGGACCAGGCTCGCCACCTTTCACCCCGTCTGGCTTTGTAGTTGGTGCTCCAGGAGGAAGTACAGAGGTGCAGCACTCACGGTGGCGTCACTAGCTGGGCCCTGCTCTGGAGAGCGACCACCGTGTGCACGTCTGAGGGAGGAGAGAGTGGCACATGCCACACATGCAGCTGTGCCAACTGCTCTGCTAGGTGCTCATGCCTCCCGTTTCTCTGGCCAGGCTGACGTAGAGATGGCTCATTCTTTTGTAGCCCCCTCCAGAGCTCTTTGGGTGACACTCAGGGTCTGCGTGGGGCAGAGGTGGGACAAATGAGGGCTGACAGAGGAAAGTGTCCAGAACAGCGCAGCTGGCACGCTCAGCAAAGTGGGTCTGGGTTTGTGCATTTGTTCATTCCCCCCGGAAGTCTGAGCGGTGAGCATTTTCATGGCTTTACGTCATTCACTGTTAAGCCACTGGTCATGGTGTTAGTTTTTAAAGTAAGGCTTTCTTTCATGACAAATAGCTAATGCTTCTATGCCACTTGTGCTCCAGAGCAGGAGAGCTTCTTGGGGGACATTGAAGTACTGCAGGAGCCTGACTCTGCGCTTTCCAATGCAGGTTTGTCTCATTGGGAAATCCAGGACGTACCCCCCCGCCAGAGAAGCCTCCATGGATGCGCAGAGAACGCGGTACATCCATGGGCGGCGGGGCTGCCCTGNACCTGAGAAATGAAGAGAACGTTTGCTTTTCAAGTTGGAAAATGTCAGGAATGCAGCCAGGTGCCACATATTGACATTTCTGTCAACAACAGACCGTGTGTGCGACCTTGGTCCTATACGATAATAATGGAACTGAAAAATGCCTGTGGCCTAGTGATGTAGCTGTGGTAACGTCACAGCACAACGCATCCCTCACGTGTTTGTGGGGGCGCTGGTGTAAACAAACCCACTGTGCTGCTAGTCATGTAGAATTACGTACAGTGCGTGATACCTGATAGAATAAATGGCATGCTACTGGCTTACGGATTTACTGTACTGTACTTTGTATCATTATCTTAGAGTGTGCTCTGTACTTATAAAAAAGTTTGCTATAAAACAGGATGCCATGTACACCAGCAGCAGCCTCATACATCTCAACGTTTACCGTGTCTTTGGATTGCATCTTTTGTGCTTGATTTAAACTCATGTTGTTGTATGGTAGCAGGCTGTGCAGGCTGGTAGCCCAGGAGCACTAGGCTGTACTATACATCCCAGGTGTGCATAGGTTAGACCATCTGGGTGCGTGTGAGTCACTTTGTGATGTTCACACAGCAGCGAAATCGCCTAACGACACACTTCTCAGAACTTTTCCCGTCATTAAATGACGTCTGACTATGAAGAGTTTAACAAACCCCAGAAACTCATCAGCCAGCACCACCCCCAGCGTTCGCCCCATTGTTATTCTGAAACAGAGCTCAGGCATATTATTTCATCTGTAAATGGAAAATAAAATTTTTGACACTATTTTTATATTTTCCCTCTGCTTCACTTTCTTTTAAAGTTGAGAAGGATATTGCAAAAAAAATTTTTTTAATTGAAGGGAAGTTCATTGCAGTGGCCTGACAGCTCTTTATTTGCTTATTTTTTCATTATATATTTATGCCGTTTTATGCTTCAAGGATTTGCATTTGTTTACATAGTCATACATCATCATAAAACATATTTTTAAACTCTCCAGTCTTAAGAATGTCGGTAAGCCAGGTGATGTCTAGGGGAGGCTGCAGATAGCATGCAGACCATATATTCTTATATGGTTAAGAAAATGGGCTCTAATTTAGGCATGAAGTTGATGATCAAAGCTATAGGAGTAACGTGGTTTATTTCAAAGTCCCCTGTGTCTGCAGATGAAAAAACAAAATTCGGTCTTTGGGAAGAGGTTCAGATAGTACTTGAATAGGCTCTGTGTTTCAGTGTGACCCCAGGGGAGTTGGCTGGCATAGAGAAGGGTAAAAGGGTAGAAGGTTCTAGTCTTGTGTTTGAGGCCCCCTTGGCCTGCCTCAGACTCCTCTGCCAAGAGGAGTTCTGTGCTCTAGTGTCCTGTATTTCATCTCATTACACCTGGACCTCCTGCCTCAGAGCTGGGAGAGTGCTGCTTATTCTAGTGTTAAATGTGAGTTGAAGGCTGGCCGCCGCCTGTGAGGCCTCCTGCTTCAGAAGGACGGCCGGAAACGAGCGCGGTGGTTGTGTAGGGCCTCGGAAATGGGGCCCTTCTGTGAATGGACACAGCCTGGCTAGTCAAAGACCAGGCATGGGGCACAGCATCATTCTTGCAAAAACCTCATTTGATTATAAATGAGAAACTATTAAGAAAAGACACCTGTTTTTAATAACAGTATTGTGTGGATCACAGAGTGTCTTAATTTTGTTTGTGGAGCTATATATGAAATAGGAATATTCAATTTGCTCTACTCAAAATGTCATTTAAAATGTTTTCTTAAACAAGTGGGGCTTTGTCGTCCATCATGCTGTTGGCAAGATAACTGTAAATGCTATGGGATCGCTGAGTGTAAATGATGTTTTTATTAGTGCAGGCCATTTAAAGAGACAAGTAGGCAAATTTAAATCTAGAATGGGTGGGAATAAAGAATAAATATCAAAGTTTTGTTTTTCCTGCTTTAAATTGCGTGTGTACCCATTGAGCAATGCTATTTTCAACATATGTGTGAACAGAAGCTCATACGCTTATTTAAGAAGCGGGAAGATTGTAGGGTTAAATTCTGTTTTTATTTAGGTGATGTCTGTAAGATGATCTTATGTTGCAGTTTTGTTATGTCTGCTGTTGGTTTTGATTAAGCAGTAACACTTCCACCTACTTCTGGGGGATTACTCAATTTGAAAACTAAAAGGATTTTGAGTAGTTACATAGTATCTCTTTTCTTTCCAGTTTTGACTGACAGGTTCACTGTTGAGACTGTTGATTTCAGTAATTAGTGATTTAGCAGGAAGGAGACACTGTGTAACGTCCTTCAGTCATAAAAGCAAGCTGTTTCAAGGTTACCTTCAGAAATTTTCAGAATGGTTAGCATGCTGATTCAGTGGACTTTTACAAAAGATAGTAATAGTGAAGAATTATGCATGCCTCTGTGTAGATTCCTCGTGTATTTTATCTTCTTATAGATAAAGGTGGAAGGACTTCTGAAGTTGTGTGAGTGCATTATATTATACACTTAAGTCAAC